TACAAAAATGTAAGAAACTTACTAATAACCATCAAAATGAAGTAAATATTCACAAGAACACAAACATCTTGCAGTTCCAAGATGAGAAACTATTACTGGTCTGTAGGAAGTAACTTTTATATAGAGGATCACAACCATGTTTCTACCACAGAACAAGACACTTTTTTTCACAAAAGCAAAGCACATCAGGTTTGAAAAAAGATGTCAAACAAAATATGGGGACAAAATTAAAATGAGTGGCTATGAAATAATTTTTAAGAAAAATACTTTCAACAAATAACTTGATTCCATATTCAACTTTTTAAACCACATAAATTGCCATCAATACTTAATAGTAAGTTTTGCAGCTGAATGGTAACAAATTATTGGCTTGAAATTAATACTATCTTTTATTATCTTTCACCTTGGTTGTTCTTATATCATGGAATTCTACCTGACTCATATTAATGCTAGTTTAGATGATTTTCACTTAACCTGCAATGAAGTTCTTGTTCAAATGGCCTAAACATCAAATTTAGGTTTTGTTTTAAGATTAAATACTTCCTCAAATATTAGTATTTGATTTTTCTAAAAATGTAACAAATTCTCTATAGTAATTAGCACTATTAGGGGGAAACAACTTTATAGCAGTGATCATCTTAACTTTACAATGTATTTGATTATGTATGGCCTAAAGTTGACTTACAGTAAAAAAAATTATAAAGTATGCGTTAAAAATGATAAACTTTAATAGTAACCTTGCACAAACAACTTCAGTGAGTTAATTTTTTCTATTTCAGATTCATAGGGGAAATAAAATATTAAACTTTGGTAAACTATAAATGTTATACTCAGAGTTATCACCATTGTTCTGAACCCAAGTTGCTAACACTTCCTGTCTTAGCGTCCTTTTCCACAGAATGCAGAATGAGATCACTCTAATACTTAAAAGACGGAAAATGGGGGAAAAAGTCACTAGATTTGGTATCTCACTTTTTACGGTGGGTAGAGAGAATGTTAGATGTAAGTTTGGATGTAAAATAAAATAAATTATGATCTGTGAAAGCCACCAGAGTCGACAATTTCAGAAATCCTTGCTATAGAGTCATCTAGAAATGTGTTTTCATGTGTGTTACATAAAAAATGATTTGGAATACTGAAGAGATGAAACAGGTGTCTAAAATAAAACAATCATGACCATGATGTGATCACCATGGCTGACAGATAACCCAAAATCTTATAAAAGAAAAGTTACTTTAGAAAGTTTCAACAGTGCCAAATGCAATATATATATAAAGTACAGAAACAAAAATGAATTATAGAATCCTCACAAAGAAAATAAGTTACAAAAGAAGTACCAAGTTCTAAATGAAGAAAAAAATTAACATGTATATGACATACACATACCAAATCTTAACTGACTTAGAGACAATATGAAGTGCTTGGGGCATGGTACCCACCCAGATTCTCATTTTCAATGGACTTTTCTTTCCCCTTCCACCCAAATTTAGTTCAGTTTTCCTGCAGAAAAATAAGACTCCTATATTAATAAGAAATGAAAACAGTGAGTACAACTGTTATAGATCCATTGACTTTTATTACAAATGTACTTGATCACTTGGCTTTAAAAAGTTTAAAATCAATACCCTATTTTCTGTATGCCAGTACAAAGCAAACTGTTTTACAAATTAAATACCTAATTTTTGACAAAAATATTAAAATTTGATGAAAAACAATTATAAAAATCCTTAATCTCGCTCTTCAAAAAGGAGGCAGTCTTCCCAGTACTATTTTACAATATTAATAATATTCACCATTTTTAGAATAGGTAGCTAAATTATATTTTCCCGTTAGCATACAAAACTCTTAGACTAAAAGATTTTATTTGTATATGCTCCAGTTAAGTTTGTGAATGCCATCTGATTGCAATATAATCAACTATCTTTAATTGAATCCTAATTTACACTTATTTAATAATTTGCATAGTTTAAAAGGGAGAAAGGTTATTCTACAACTAATTATCATAGTCTATTACAGTGCTATTTTTCAAGGCAATAAGTATTTGCTCCCAAATCTGTCTTCTTTAAGCAGGGGTTATAATTACTAGCAGCTTTCTTCATCACCTGAAAAACGAAACTGGAATAGTTATCCATCTCTAGATGTAAAGATCTTAAAAACACATTGATATTATGTCCTACTTTGAGTTAAATTTCAACCGCTGCATGGGACAACTAGAAAATAAGACTTTCAAGATTGTGGATTTTTTTTTTTTTTAAATCCTTGTTGGTTTTGGTTTCTACTCTCCATGGCTTTTGAGAAGCTGGAAAAGTTAGTCTTTCCTGACTCGTATTGTCTTCCCCCCCCCCCCCCCTCATTTGGCAAATATTCATCCATCTACCTCCAATCTGTATCTAGTGGAGGAAAAGCCGAGATGGCTTTTCTTATGAACTTCCTTTGTTATCAAAGGCATGTATAATGATTTCTACAGTTCTGGTTAGTTAACTTTAGCTCCCTCTGTGGCTGGATGACTGTTGCTTCTAACATCAGCATGATAAATAGGAGGCACAAATAAAAAATAGCTTTAAAAAAGATTTGGTGATTTAAAAGGAAAAAAACAAAAAAACAAAACACCAAACAGACACATGTATATGAGCATTTCAAATCTGGTGGCTGATCTCTGGATTAAATTACTTGACAGTGTCTCTCATTTTAAAGAAGGTCAATATTGCAATGCATTTCAAGTTTTCTTTTATACTTAGGCAAATAATATAGTTTAAGCTCTTGGACCTTAATTGTAAGACAAAGCAGATCATTAAAAATAAGGCATACTTGTCAGGAATTAAGTTTTGTTTGCTTGCTTTTGGCACATTTGATCATACTGTCTTTATGAATAACACATATGGTCAAATATACCATTTCCTTTTTTGTTTTAGCACAAACAGGGCATATCAACTAGGAAATTAAACACAAGGGAAAACTCCAACATAAAACACTGAAATATAGAACCTTGGTAAAGTACCGAGCACCTGGGGGATAAGGGAGATGAGGGAAGGATGGGAAAAGGATGAAACAGGAAGAGGGTGGAAGGGAAGGTTGGGTGTTTGGGGAGGTAAAGTGAGATGCAGAAATGAGCATCTTTACAGTCACTTAGTCTTTTCTATGATCACCTCTTAAAAAGTCTTAAAAGATCTGCATGTGGATTTCTTTTAAATCCACTGGCCATAAATCAGACACTGGTTTCAAAATCTTAGTAAGATTGTGTTTAACTGTTAATAGTGTAAAGACAATTGCACAATACATGTGCTTCTAAATCCGGTAGGATTCCAAAGCAGAATCTGGTCTATAGGTAAGAAAGGCTTCATTTTAGGTAACTGACCCTAAAGAAAACCTTGTGAAAGAATTCGCATCTCAAAGAAAGGACACTTTGCCTAAGTTTACTGTGTTTTTGATGACTTGCACTACTTATTGCTGGCTACTATGAAATACTGATCTAGGAGTACTCCAACAACCTGTAGTACAAGGCTTAACTTTAAAAAGCTATAGTAAACAAGAGACAAAATCAAAGCAATTCTCTTTCCTAACTAGTAACAACACAATGCAGTCTTTTCCATATCACAGTTAAAGTACAGTGAACAAAACAGCTCAACAAACCTTAAGACAAAAAAGTGCAGGTTATTAATGTTTACATGCAGTTGATAAGCATTCCAAATGTCACATTATGCACTGTTAGAGCTCAACTTTACTATATGGAAATAAGAAAAATGCACCTTGGGGGAAAGGGAAAGCAATTTAATAATTTCCAGTGATTTTGTAAGTAAAGAAACTCCTAACTATTGTACGGTCACCTCATATTTAACATTGTATGAATATTTAAAAGCAAACAATTTAATGGGAAAATGCACAGTACAATGGAAATAGCTTGTTATTCAACACATACAGTAGATCTCAAAAACAAAGACAACATACTCAACCAGGGAGCTTAAAATATCAAATCAAAACCCAAAGGACCAGCAGAAAAGAGAGAGAAAAAAATAAAAACCTTCAAAAAGACAACTGTTCCACCTGCCTAGGCCAATGCTTTACAATGTCAGAAGCACCTATACCTTCCAGCTCCTACAGGTGGTGTCTTCTACATACAGCAGTTAGATCAATATGGCTAAATTTGCCAAAAAACAATCCTATCCCCAGAACTCTATCAGACAAGATATCCCCCCTTGCAACATTTTTTTAACCAAAATACTTTCTACAGAATTCCAACCCAAAATGTACTGTTTAAGGCATCTTTTTTTATAACATTTTCTCTTCACCCAAAGATGATAGTCATGCAGCAGTTTAATGATAAAAATATATTAATATTTTACTATACAGCAGCAAGAAGTTAGTTGTCAATTAAAAGCACACGAACATCTTTAAATGAAAACCTGTCAAAGACTATTGTTACAAAAAATTTCGGTCTGGAGGACACCAGCTTGGTAAAGTGCTCTCCTAAGCTTTGCATTTTCATACCCTACAACCTTGAATATGAGTTATAGAACATACTTTTGATAGGCTTGTACACTTGGGGAACACAAATACACTTAGCATATAATGTAGCCAGTAATAACTAGCACCACAGCTACATGGAAATCCTTTACATACACCAACTTGGCTTTCACTTTTTAAAAGAAACTCAGAATCCATGGCTCAGTAGGATAACTATAATTGTGTTGCTGTTTTTTTTTTTTTAAACAGGTCTACATAAGTTAATAGCACTGGCAAAAAAAAAAAAATCAAAAGATAGCTCAGACCTCTTACAAGTTTAGGAGACAGTGCTAGTGACCACAAAGACTCACTACCTGATGTCCAAGTACAGGTTCACTGGAAATTGCTGCACGTTAGTTAAGTTTTTTAAATCTTTCTACACATAATAAAAAAAATATATTATGAACAATACAAGTACATCTCATATACACAATGACAAAACGCCTACTCAAAGCAAACAGATGCAGAAAAATATTATGGGAATTTCCTTTTTCTTTCTCTTTTTCCTTTTACTATTTGAATAACTTTGGTTCCAACCATAAAAATCACAACTTAGCAAATTTCATTTAAATGCCTTTTTTAATAATTTCTTCATGTTCACAGAAGTTTCACTGACCATTTTATATGTTTAAGGTCCAGATGCAATGCATATTGTATAAAAGAGAGCACTTATTGTTTACCTTGCATGAATTTAACCTACGTACCTTTAACTCTACAAACTTCTGCATAACATTTAGACAAAGCTCAGACACACAGCATGCCTAGCCCTCAAATATATATACACATCTCTAATCACAGGTATATAGGGTGTCAAATATACTATAATAACCTCCATGTAAGGTTTGAAATTTGGTAACAAAATGAGAAAAACTAAAAATATTATTTTACGTGTTCTAAAATATCTCTTTTTTGTGCTAAAGTCAAACGTTAGCTCAACATGAAAAGGACTTTTATATAATTCAGCAATATTATAATCTTGACCATTTTGCAAACACTTTTAATAATAATAGCTTAAACGTGTACAAAAGTTCTTGGTTAATTAGGGAAATAAACACTCAGTTCTTTATATTTTTTAATCAAGTAGGAAACACAGTTCATATAATGTTATTACTTTTTGTATTTTTTTTTGTTTTTTGTTTTTAGCAGCTGCTTACTGTTTTATATGGTGGATAAAGTGGACAACATCCAGCGATGGGTGGCAAGTCAAGAAGAGAAACTGTCAGTTGGTGGAGGTTCTGTGGGTGGTGCTCCCTTGGAGTTAAGTTTTGTTTATTTTTTTAAACTTTTTAACTTTTTTTAATTTTCTCTCTCTTTACAGTATATTTTCTCTGTGTGTGGCGCTGTGTGTGTGTGTGTGTGTGTGTGTGTATGCATGTGGGTTTTTTTTTTTCATTCAGTTTGATCAATCTTCTTCCCCTTCTTCCTCACCCTGCAGCAGCAGGGTGGCAGCGGCGGTCTCCTCTTGCTGCTGCTGCTGCTGCTGGTGGAGCTGCTCACAAGCAGCTCGCTTCTCCCTCTGCTTCTCCTGGATCTTCTTCATCTCTTCGGAGTACTTGCAGAAGGTGTGTCCGAACTTGGCCCACACCTTGTAGGGCACCGTGATGGAGTTGCGGTAGGTGGGCTTCACCTCGCTCACTCGCATAAACACGCCGTACTTGTTGGAGCCCACATCGAAGAAGAAGCGCTTGTTGTCCACAGTCAATGAGGTGCCCTCGGGCAGCTCGGCCGGCTCCTCCTCCACTCCGTAGTCGTCGATGAGCTTGGCCAGGGCGTCACGGAACTCGATGAGCCCCTGTGCGGGCAGCGCAATGGTCTGGCCCTGCGTGGAGCCCAGGCCGGGCCCCCGGTTGACCGTCTGGCGGATGCGCAGGAAGCGGCCACGCTGGTTCTCCTTGAGATCCATGTAGTACTTGCGGTTCTCGCGCACCAGGAACTCGCTCTTGAGCGCCCGGCGCGGCTCGTCCTGTGCCTGGGCCAGGTCGGGCGGCTGGCTGGGGCCCAGCTGCGCGTAGTGCTCGATGAAGTCGCCCAGGTAGTCGCGGAACTCCACTGCCACTGACATGGAGAGAGTGAGGCGGCTCTTGTTGCCGCCCGCGCCCACCTCTGCGATCTTCAGGAAGCGGCCCTTGGCGTTCTGCTTCACGTCCAGGTAGAAGCGCTTGTTCTGGATGTCCACCCGCTTGGAGGCCAGCTCCTGCGTCTCGTGCTGCAGCCCCCCCGGGGCCCCGCCGCCGCCGCCGCCGCCACTGCCGCCGCCGCCCCCGCCGCCACCACCGCCCCCGCCGGAGCCCGAGCCCGAGCCCGGGTGCCCCAGGGAGCCGCCCGAGCCCAGCGCCGCACCACCCTGCTCGCTGCCGCTGTCTCGGTCCGCCATGATGCTGCGCTCCGCCGCCGCCGCGCCGCCGCCTGCCGCTCCGCCCGCCGCCGCCTCAGTCGCCTCAGCCGCCGCTGCTTTCCCTCCCCGGCTCCGCCTGCTGCCGCCGCAACCCCCACAGCCAGTCAGCCACTCTCGCGAGATCTGCGGGAGAGACGAGACAGACGAGACCCGGTAACAGGGCACTGACTCCCCTGTACAGTAGCAGGGCGCCCTACTGTACGCGCCCACCCGCCCACCAGCACGTGACCTGAGCCCCCTCCCCACGAGTAGCCCCCGTCCGCCCGCCCGCCAGGCGGCGCCCACCCGCCAGCCCTCACCCCACACCCCTGGTGGTGGGGGGGAGGAGTGGGACGCGCCGCGTCGCAGCTGCTGCCACCGCCACCAACCACTGTGGCTGTCGCTGTTGGCCAGACCCTGGGCGGCCTCTGCCCGGGGAGTTGAGGGACGAGGGGTGAGAAGGGGGCTGCCACACTATGCACGGGGAGAGGGCCTGAGGTCTGCTTTCCAGTGACCCCAAAGAGAGGATGTGGGGGAGGGGCCTGCGCAGCACCACTGAGCCCGCTGCAGAGAGGGGATACCGAGTCACAGCCATCCCCTCCCCTGCGGGCCCCAGGCAGACCAAACCAGACCCAGACCCAAACCCAGACAGACCCACCCACCGCCCGGCTGGGCTGTCTCCTACCGCAGAGCAGAGCCCTGGCCGCAGAGGGGCTCAGAAGAGGAGAGGTGGTGAGCCCTTAGCTGCAGAAGGGGCTGCCAGGGATGAGGACCGGGCACCGGCAGCAGTGGCGCGGAGCAGCAGACACCTAGCCTGTCCCTCCCCTCTCCCTCCCCTAGCTCCCGCCGCTCCCCCTCCCCGCGCACGGCAGCGGCTCTGGCCTCAGATGATCCCGCTCCCCCCTCCCCCCAACCGCAGCCCCGCACAGTCGGGGCGGGCGGGCGCACTCACCGGCGGGGGGAGCCGAGCAGAGGACGGCAGCCGCACCAGGGCCGGGGTGCCCGCAGTGCCGGTTCCCGTTGGCTCTGCTCTTCCCCCCAAGCAACAATCAAAATTAGAAACCCCACACTCACCCAAAAACCTTCAGCCATGCCCCTTCGGGACCACGGCCGCCCGCCTGCCTCCCCCTCCTCCTCCTTCCGAGATTTGGGGAAGGGGGGCACCCTGCTCAGGGCTGAGCCCAGCCTGGGTAGCCGGCCAGCTCTGCAGATGAACCAGGCCCTGCCGAAAGAGCCTTCAGCACCTAGCCCACTCTTCTTCCTCCCTGAAAGGACCCAGAAAGGAGAAAAACCAGCAGGCTTTAGGAAATTCACAAGCTAAAAATGTCAGGAATTTCCTGGGAAACGCATTTCCTTACGGGATTCATTAATGCGGGGATTCATTAATGCAGGTTCGATTGCCCCTTTTACCTACCCCTCCTCCCAGAAACTCCGAAGTGTCTTCCCCAAAAGTGAAGCATTTAAAAGATCACGGATTTTTAGGGGGGGGGGACAGCTATGTTTCCAACCATTAATTAACCAATGAGTCTTTGGGCTGTCAAAGCTAAAAGGGGGTCTCTCTAGTCTCAGAAGGGGACTCAGATATAGCAGATTTGTCCTCTTCCAGGTCTGAGGCAGATTAGGCCTGTTTTCCTTTTCCCAGATAAAAGTGAACTCTCCCTCTCCCTCACTGCATTTTGCAGTACCGGTACCTGTGGGAAAACTAAGGCCTATCTCCAAAGGACTCCAGACAATGCCGAATACCCTTCTCATCACCTCTGCAGGGGGCTCAAAGGATACAGACCTCTCAGTCTGACTAGCATTTTCAAGCATAGATCGCTGCCTCATCCTGAGATGATCATTCTTAACCCATCAGTGGGTTCTTTCCCCAGTGAACATTTCCAAACCCCTTAAGATGCGGCTCCCTTTTTCCTAGCCCCAGGAAGAGCTGGGTACCTGGTTGCCCAAGCTTCCTAGAAAAGAGAAAGGTAAAGAGGGCTAATGAGTAAGAGGCTTGGCCGGTCCGGAGCATAGACTGTATCAATGCCTGAGCCCTCAAAGTCCCCTAATATATCCTTTTACCTCCCAGGCAAACCAGCCTGCCAGATACTCACAGCTTCCTTTTTCTCTCAAGAAGGGCCCCATCCTACCCAGCATTAGCGATTGCACTTCTGGACTGAGTTTGTTACTTCCCTGTTAAAGAGGAAAAAAATAGGGCAGAGCACCCTGACTACCAAATAGCAAACGGAGTAGCTCTATGCCCCAGACCACCCACCTGTCCAGTGGTATCTGAAATAGTTCCCTGAAGGGGAGACCCACTCTGACGGAGAGCCAGGCTTTGGACCTCATAAAACTTCCTCTTAGTTTGGGCGTACCCTCAAGTACCAAGTAGGATCTTTTCAGTACTGATTTTTCTGCACTTCCTTCCCTGTCCCCAGATTTGTCGAGAAGGGGTACATAGAAATGGTTGGCATAATTTTCACTGCACAAAAATACACGTGTGAAGAAGTGGCGTCTCCTCCAGGCGTGCATGGTAGCGATCAGGACCCTGGATAGACCCCCAGCCCTAAACAGGGACGCGAAGGTAGATCGGCAGGGTCTCTGCGCAGAAACAGGAAAGCGGGCAGTTCTCTCCTCCGCTGAGCCTAAGATCTCATAAAACCCTATCTAGAAGGGCCACTGCTATTCCTCAAGGGTTTACCTACCGCAGAGCCAAGCCTTTACCCCCAACAAGAATTCAAAATGGAACTGCAATGAGAAGGCACTGCCCGTCTGTTCCGGCTATTCATAAATGCTAATGATCACTTCCCCCAGGACAGAAAACTAGGGCTCAACACCGTGGACTTCTTCCACCAACTTTGGAACCTAAAATTCTTGCCCTTTGTCTCAAATATTTCCATTCAGAACTTCTGAAGTGATTTGAATTTGGTAGTAGCCTCACTTTCGAAAAAGAACTACAATCCCCAGGAACTGAGTTCTAAGTTCCCCAACACAGAGACAACTGCTCAAGTTTCTAGGCAAGGTACAAATTAAATTTTATTTGTATGCTCAAACTGGGAATTTTAAGCTCAAATAAGCGAATATCTGTGGATCTTTCAAAATAACTATATAGTTATTTTGTTATCATGTATGTATAAAATTTCTGTCACATGCTATCATCTTGCCTACTTTTATCTGAAAAGCAAAATGGTTAATGCCTCTCCCAAAGCAATTCAATGAATAATTAGATATGTAACATATTTTCACTACTCTAACATGAGAATTAGCTTCAGGATAGCCCTGTAAATGTAAACTTTTGATCAGGTTGGGATGTGTGGATGGGAAAGGTGTCTTTCTTTAGATTAGAGAATATAATTTAGGGAGAACAAAGTTTTCCCAGAACAGTCTTACAACAAAAAGATTAGAACTTAAATGTAATTTTAAAGTTAGGTTTGTAGCCACTGTTACCAGAATCACACATCAACTTGACAAATGAAGTCAGTTACAGTTCTAGCTGTTTGAATTTAATTTAAAACACTTAGTTACAAAGTTAAATTTATAATTTAATTATAATGTAGAAAAGATGGAGGGCAAACGAAATATACTAATATAAAACAAAATATATACCAATGAAAAATCACCAAAAAATCCCCTTTCTCCTCATAAATGTCTCCAGATTCTTGTGCTATTTTAAAATTAACATTGCACACACATTTTGAAGAGAATAGATTGTATTTTAATCGCATTATCTGTCTTTTACACATTTTTCCCAGCAAAAAATTGTACACAAGTGAAACAAGACATTAGGGAGCACAAAAAGGCAAAAAGCCTCAATTTTCCTCTGTCTGAACTACATGGATGATTCTAAAATAATCTAATTTAGCTCTGATTTTTCAAAAGGGAAAATCAACACACACATTTACTACACAAACTTAAGGCAAGGCAATCTACTTTGGGGTGATAAGCCTTTTTTTGATTATGGAGGTCCAAACAGGAATAACATGTTGATTAATATTTTAGAAAAATCACAGATTTCCAAAATAAACAAGAAACAAGAACATAAGAACCTGTTTTAAGTGCGCCTTAGGTTAAATGCCTGTCTTAAACCAGACAATTATCTTCAGTGCCCAAATCATTAAAACTATTTGGAATGTTGTACTGCAATTGTTAAAAGTGGAGGAATTACCCATTTCTTCTAATGGCTATTTATAAAGAAAATAAGATTTACTCGTAAGTAAATCTTAATATTTAACAAAAAACAAGACTAAAAGTATTTCACCAACCCTTTTCAAAAGACGCATCCTTTCCTTTAGCTCACCTATTCTTTAAAATTATGCCTCTTAGATGCTATTCTGATGCTTAAAGTTAAAAATATTAAACATTTAAAATATCAAAAAAACAAGCCCTGTGGTAGAACCCTCGCCAAATTCTTTCATAAAATCATTTTCATTTTAGGCATTTGCAGAAGAGTTAAATAAACATACACACATTCTAAATTCGATCAATGAGCCCGACATTTTATGTACCCAAAAGGTCCAAACAGAACCGATGCGAATGTTAATAGCTCTTTTTCTGGCTGATACTTAAATGGTTTTACTAGCACCCAAAGGAATGAAATCAGCAACTCTGCACATTCAAGCCAACACTCCCAATTTTCAAAGCCGCAATTTGAAAACGTCAGTTGAGGCAGGGAGCTGCAGTTGGGGGTCTGAAGTAATCAAAAACTGCCTTTTCTTCTCCGACCATCTACCAAAGATGACAAGCTCAAATTCATTCTATTGTAATGCAATGGGATTCCCCCCCTTCCAAGGACGCGGGACACAAGCATAGACACTGCTACAAAAACCGGTCCCAAAGCGCCTGGCCCTAAAGAAACGTGAGGGACCAGGAGACGAACGAATTAGAACCTTCAACAGGGTCCCACCGAGACAGCGGAAACGAGAGTGGCATTTTAGTCAGGGGCAGACAGCAAGGAACCAAAAGAAAGTTGCCCCTGCTAGACTCTTGGGCCTTTCTCTACCCGAGTTCAGCCTCCAGGCACATATATCTGTGGGGGTCCTGTCCCTTACAGATAGCTCGGCCGCTTCTAGTACCCACTGTCGCGGAAAGGGAAGCCCCCTCCTGCTTCACAGCCTTTTTGTTTTTGCCCCAACGAAGGCAGCGGCCATCAAACCGATCTAGCTCTAGGGGTAGCAAAAATGCCTTGCTGCCCCCGCCCCCCCATCCTTAGGCCTGGCCTCATCTGCGATGTCAGCACCAAAGCTTTCCTTTTAATTTTTCCAACACGTCCTTAAGCGGGTGCATGCGGGGATCGGGGGTGGGTGGGTGATGTTGGACCGAGAAGAGAGGAGTGGAGCCCCACGTCCTCTCCCCTCCAGCCAGGGGTGGTGTGCAGGGAGTGTCAGCCCCGTCTGGCGCACTGTCCCCTGGCCCGGGAGAAGGGCCGGGGGAAAACGGAGCTCAGGAATGCCTAAAGGATCCGCACCTTTGGTGTTCCCCAGCGCCCGCCGAGATGCGGGTGTTTTTTTTTTTTTTTGGTGGGGGGAGGGGGTTGTTTTTTTAAGGGGCGTGTGATTTTGCTCTCTTCTGGAGGTGGGAGCGAGTTCATTCGTTCGTGAGCTCAGGGAGGGGTGGGGGGGCGTTGCTGCACTGCCGGGGTCCCTAGAGGGAGGGTGCGGGGATGTCTACATAGTACAGTTCTCATTCTCCGGGCCTGAGAGGGCGATTAGAGGGGATGGGGTGGGCGGCACCTCAAACAGTGGCTGCAGGGAAGGTCGCGAGGGGCTTACCCGAGCGGGCGGGCGCTGTCCTGGCGCAGGTGAGGGAGGGCGCGGGCTGGAGGGAGGGAGGGCGGGCGCGCGCGCGGCGGGCGCGCGCCGGGGGAGGGAAGGAGAGCGCGCGCGCGCACACCTGTCCTGGACAGCGGCGCGAGCCGAGCTGCGCCTCACTCGGGCTCGGCCGGCTGAGGAGGGAGGAGGGAGGGCGGGGGCGGGACGCCGAGGGGAGGAGGAGGAGGCGGCTCAGATGGCTGGCTCAGCTCTCGCTTTTCTCCCTCCCGCGGGCAAGCCCGGCTCACACCCAGCTTCTCCGGCTCACTCACAGCCCCCACGGCTCTCCCTCCTCCTCCTCCTTCCCCTGCGGGATCCTCTCGTCGTCGCCGCCGCCGCCGCCGCCGCCGCCGCCGCCGCCGCAGACGGCAAGTCGTGGCAGCCAGACGTCGGCGCGTAACCCGGCGCTCCGTGCGTGACTCCGGGCGACGTCAGCGCGCGCTCCGCGCTCCCCACCATCTGCCCCCCTAACACACACACACAGAGACACGCACACACACAAACACACACACATACACACAAACACACTCCCCCGCTCCAGCCCCCCCTCCACCCCCCCTCCCTCCGGCTCGCGCCCTCCGCCCTCTCGTCCCTCCGTTTCAGTTGCTGCGGCTGCGGCCGCCGAGCGCGCTCCCTCCGCCCTCCTCCCGCGCGTGCGCGCGCCCTCGCCGCCGTTGGCGCGTCAACAGCCCGCGGCCCAGGCCTTGAGGCGCTTCAGAGGGGAGCGCTGCCTGGGGCCTCGCTCCCCGCACTTCCACCGCCCTCTGCCCGGAGCGCCCCGGAGAGGACTCCTCCCGCGAAGGGCTCTGCAGGCCCGAGAGAGGCTCAGGCGGGGCTAGAACCCCGTGGGGCCTGCGTCAGTTTTAACTTCGGGCCCTCTGCGGCGTCGTCCGAACAGCTATCCCCGCGTCACCCCCCCCCCCCTTCCGCTCGCATTCCCGGGGGCAATCGGCCTTTCATCTCCCGGGAGGGTCTCACCTTGGCCTTCAGATGCCCGCGGAGAGGGTCGAGGAGGGCAGAATTAGCATTAAAAAAAAAAAAAAGCTAAGACATTCCGCCTCTGGCCCCAGGAATCCCTGACAGGAAGCGTGGGGCGCCTGCCCGGCCTCCCACGCGCCGTAGGTGAAACTGGGCCCTTTTGAGGGACTGTGTGTGACTCAGGGCAACCCCCCCCCCCCCCCCCCCACATAACTATTACTTGTGCGTCCTTGGGCCGAAAGAGGAAGAGAATATAATGAACGAGTTCATACGTTGCGCTGCTGGGAAGGAAGGCAGGAATCGGGAATGTCCTGAAAGATGTCATGGAAAAGTAGAGTCTGACAAGATTTTGGGTGCACGGCGACTTTCCACAGGTTTTGCGGGCTATCTCCATCGTGCGACTCTGCGGTCCTAGAAGGTGGATCCGTTAAAAAAAACAAACGTGACTGCAGTATAGATACGAAACTGCCTTCACCGTCTTTTTAGGAGTTGAGTAGAGCTCAGGAAAGTCCATCAGTGATTTTAGTCACTGTTCTGTCTTATTGAGTATATTTCACTTTGAAGTTACTTTGTGATACACCCAAGGCAACCTTGTACTACGCACTTAGGTGATTTTTAAATTCTCTTATTGTGGGGCCTTTTCCAAGAAAATAACTAGCTAAGCCTGCAGGGTTAGTAGAAGTCAGGTGTAATTAACCCCATTTTATAGATGAGAAAATTGTGTTGCAATAATATAAATCAGCGTTGCAAAAAAATGTGTATTTCATAGAGGGAAATACCTTAGATTTAGGGTCATCTATTTTATCTAGTAATCCCAAATTCTTCAATTGTCTGGATGCTCCTCCTGCCCCTATATTGTAGGGAGAACACAATGTCAGCAAAAAAAGGTATTTGTGGACACAAGTTACCGTTTGAAACTTTCTGCCACAGAAAATGACAGCTTCGTAAAAATTATGTTGAAACAACTCAGTTTCCATATTAACAATGTTTATTAGTGGTGAGAACATTTTAGAGGCAAGAGGGAAGTGTAAGTTCTTTTGAATTTTATATACACCTCATCTTTAGGTGGCAGCACTACTGTAGAAGTATATTTAAAACCTACAGTCTTGGTGACAATGTGGCATCTACAGTGTGGCTCAGCAACAGAGCACTGTCCTTGAATTTGTGATTCCCTGGATTGATGCCCAGCATCCTTCTCTCTCCACCAACCACTCCCTCCATAACCAATCTACACTGGTCTCCAACTTGATGCCTTCAAGAGTGATTTGTATTAAACACTTCGAACTGTATAGTAGAGATTAGAAGCTGATGAAAATAAATGATAAATGAGAATGCTTAGAAAGTTCTAGAGAAGGAAAGAAAAGGCCTTCAGAGAAATGAATAAATTCATGAAGCTCCCAAGGGGGAAAGATTGAGGAAGTTACAGGGGAAAAGCCCTGCATGTGTATAATAGTGGCATTTTTACTCTGTACTTGATCTGTTGGGCAAAGGATGGTACCCAGGAATGAGTCCTTTACATGTTGTGAGACTGTGGGTTCAATTACTGGTATAATAACAACAACAAAATCTCTTATTGAAATAGCCATGATATCCTACCAAGGCAAGCCAAGCATCTCAACGTTTTATGAGGCATCTATAAGCTTAAGACTAAGTTTTATAGATGCCAGGTTTTATTGTTGAAGCTTGTGGAAGAGGAATCTTCTTGGCTCCTTCTCTTCTCTAAATTGTTCATAGCTGAGTAAACCATCACTCATCACAAACTCAAAGAATTAAGGAGACACACTAAACCAAATGTTGTGAACCATACAGATAGTCCAGTGGGTGGAGTGATAGACCTGAGTTCTAGGCACTGCATATGCTCTCCCCAAGCCCTGCCAGGAGTGATCCCTGAGCAAAGAGCCAAGGGTGGACCCTGAACACAGCTGGATGTGGCCCCCAATATAAATAAAATGCAATTTACAAATATTCTATACTTTAGTCTTACATTTTCTGAAAATAAGAATTGTGTGTGATATTGGATCAACATTTTCTAATACAATTTTGTCATAATTTTTTATGTTCATAATTGTTCTCCTTATACCTCTTTAAGCAACTTAACACAATTGGATTTACAAGCATTTCAAAGTATACTGCTTTAGATTTACAGAGTAAACACAAATATCAAGGACTATGTAGTCTGAAAATCAGTAATAGGAAATAAAATATTTCTTGGTAAAGAGTGAAGGGTTAATAAAAGTCTTTCTTGATGGAAACTTTCATCTTTCTCAAATCAATGTTGGAGAAAGAATCTCAAGCAAATTGGTAGAATTCAAATTCAACAGTATTATGTGAAGATTTTTAAGCTCTTGGTGCCAGCAAATCATGCAGCCTGGGGGCCTTTGCTCCAAACTTCTGCCAACTCCATTTTGGCAGTGAAGTGTTCTGTTGAACAAAGTTTGCACGTGTTTGGGGTGTGAAGTGGTTCCTCAGGCATTTTTCTGGTTTTATTCCAATTTAGGGAGTTGAAGACAAGGGTCAGAAATACTAAGTTTATATTGTGCTCTGAAACAGTCTATAATAGTGATCTTAAATATTCACTAACCAAGGGCAGATTTTTTTGTTGGAGTTATTGAAGTGAACCTTTGATTTAACTCCTTAAATGCTAACATGATATTGAACCAGCTCTCAAAATCACGTAAGCAGAACCCTATCCTTTGATGCTGTAAGAGCTGGGAAAAACCACTCATCCTCTTACCCACAACACCATCAAAATGTTTTTATCCAGATGAAACTAAATAATAATATGCAACTTGAGAACAAAGAGGTCAGTAATTACTTAGACTGGATCTCATTATCTAATCTTTTTTTGGTATCAGTTGTCTGGCTTTATCTTTTTTTTTTTAATCTAATTTTTCCCCTCCTGGGGTCTTTGGTTAATAGTACTTGCTTCAGATGTGTGCACTACTATGTCTTAGGACTTCTCTTCCTGTGGAAATCTCAATTTCCATTATCTCTTAAGTAATTATGCTATAAATTCCTTGCATAATCTGGGGCAACACTATTTGAAGACTTTGGTGTTTTTTCCTGCTTTAAAGGTAATAGAAAAAAGGTAAAAGTAACATGTTAAAAAGATTCTCTTATCTTTAGTTATTATCAATGAAATAATATTTTGAATGCATGTGTGATAATTTGAAAAAAGTAGTTATTCTTGATACTTTTTGCCAAGCCTGTGGCCTAAATTCTTACTTGCATCATTGCCTTTTCTTCCATCTCTTTATTATTATTTTTATGTCTATAGTGGTGGGGACTGAACCCACGCCCACAACCTGCCAGGCATATAATTTGTCATTGAGCCATGCTTTCTTCTTAAAAGTAATTCCCTCATCAGATCTAACATATGGATGAGGTTAGAGACAGGAAGAAAGCTGGACCTTTTTACAGAATGAATCTATCTGGATTGAAAAGTACTATTGAACTTAGTTTTGTGGTGACCTCCAGACTATTTTCCTCGGTTACTTTAGAATATCAGTGTGTTGGGCTGCAAAGATAGAATAAGGTTTAAAGTGCTTACCTAGCATATGGCCAACCCCAGTTTGATAAAATATATAAAAATATGTACATACCCCCAGATACCAGGGCCTTCTAAGATTAATTTAGGTGATTTTTATAACAATGCAGAAGCACTTTGCTTAAATGACAATAAGTTGGGTTTCTTTTTGTGGTAAGTAAAATGTGTCAGGATGGGAAAATCAAGATAACACTCCAAGCAAATGTAAATTAAGTCTTTCTTTAATATCTTGTGCTATATAGGCTGGGGATTTTATAAATTTTTCTTTAATATTTTATGCTATAGTTCAGTGGTAGAACACTTGTCTTGCAGGTGTGAGGCTCTGGTTTAGATCACTGGCACTGACAAAAAGATATATTTTATGCTATTATATTTTTATTTTATAGTCTCCATTCCCTTTCCTTTTATAGTTGATGGTATTGAACTGAGATGACTATTTAAAGTCATCTTTTTTTTTTCATTTGGAGTATTGATGAATTTTACTGTAGAAATACCTATTTGATTAAGAGCTATTGCCCAAGACAAGATATGTCAAGTAAAATACAGATGGTATAATATGTAGTATTTTTAAAATATGAAAAAAAATCAGAAATGCATCTGACCCCAAAGAGTTTGGATAAAAGAATGTAGAGTTGTACCAGACCTATTTTTGATTCTCTGATTAAATATCACTGATAATAATCTTTTTGATATCCAGTACTTTTGAATTTTTTAGCCAACTAAATGGATCACTGTCACTGTCCTCTTGTTGTTCATCGATTTGCTCGAGCAGGCCCAGTAACGTCTCCATTGTGACAATTGTTACTGTGTTTGGCATATCGAATACGTCACAGGTAGCTTGCCAGGCTTTGCCGTGCGGGCAAGATACTCTCGGTAGCTTGCCAGGCTCTCCAAGAGGGGCAGAGGAATCGAACTCGGGTCGGCCATATTGGCCACTTGCAAGGCCCT